CAAAAAAATTAAAAAAAAAAAAAAAAAAAAAAAAAAAAACTGTTCAACAAACAATGACAATGATGTCATAATAACACTTAAGAGACAATCCTCCCCACATAGATCCTGAAATCTAATGACATGTATAGTAGACACACACACAGCATAACAGGATCACCCGTGATTATTTCTTTTTTCAATGAAAGCTGTAAATTTATCACCGACATTCACATTTAAAATGACAATAACAAGAGAGAGGGGGAGAGAGAGAGAGAGAGGGGAAGAGGGAGATTTACTAAATGTTTAGGGATCAGGATTACACAAGTCAGCCAGCACAACATCCCTATCCCTCCCCCTCCACTGGGTAATATACAGGTGAAACCTGGGGGTCAGGGTGCTGTTAAGGGACAGCCAGCAGTGCCATACTGGACCCCTCATGTACCCTGTATAGGCGAGTCCTCCTAGTAAAGGACAACTGCCAGCCCTATACTGGACCCCTGATCTACCTTGTGTAGGGGAGTCCTCTAGTCCTGCCAATAAAGGACAGCCAGCAGCCCCATTCTGCACCAGATGAACCCTGGGTAGGCGAGTCCTCCAGTCCTGCTAATAAGGAACAGCCAGCAGCCCCATTCTGCACCTGATCTACCCTGTGAAGTGGAGTCCTCCAGTCCTGATAAGGGACAGCCTCAATCTGATGTACTCTGTGTAGGTGAGTCCCCCAGTTCCGATAGGGGACAGACCCAATCTGATGTCCTCCAGTTTTGATAGAGGACAGCCTCAATCTGATGTCCCCTGTGCAGGTGAGCCCCCCAGCCTCGCACTGATATCCTGATTTGGTAAAGCACAGCAGGTGCCTGACGTCCCCTGGCACAGCAGACACGGGGTCGGGCTCTGGCACACACCGCACTGATCACCCCATAGTCCACCTGTCAGGCCCCCCACAACACGACATATTTACTTTGATGGACATGGCTCTGCTCCAGACTCCGCTCCTCGCAGCTATACGAAGTGGTGACAGGAGAAGGAATGACACGGGAAACCTAAAAGCCATGACAACTGAGGCGGGGCTTCACTTAGGCGGCCCTATAAAATTCCCGGAGGACACGCCCTCCCAGTGGCCCGCGCTGATTGACATGCGTGTTTGCGCTTTCACTGCAAAGTAAAGCGCATGCGTAAGCGAGGCATCATATGCACTGTCCTATTCGTGGATTCGAAAGACCTGTGGGCGGGGTTAGAAAGAGCGGTGATTGGCCGTGGTCCCGGAAGTAGTTTCTGTAGCAGCCACGTGGGTTCGGGAGACGGGAAAATGAAGCTGCTGACACATAACATGCTACGGAGCCACGTTACCGGGGTGACCCGGGGCTTCCCTCTCATCATCCGGGTATGGAGCTGTCTGCTTTATGTTCAGGTCCCTTGGGTGCTGCAGCCTTAAAGTCAGACAGCAGTCTCTAGTGTGCTGTAGGCAGAATAGAGAGGATTTCTGATTGGTTGTACATCCTTTGTGCTCATTGCATGGGTGCATGTATAATGTATGACTTACATTGACCTTCTCCCCCCATCTACATGTTCAAACTTTGAAAATAGCTTTCCTTTGCAGTGTTTTCTTCTACACTGGTGTGATATCTGATAACTGTCAATTGTGCCGGTGATATCCGATACCCAGATAGCAAGGATAACTTGCCACAAACTTGTGGCAGGGTTAAATTGTAATTCTTGTTAACTTGCTGCACACATTCCTGGCAAGTTGTAGACTTGCAGAACACTCGCAGCACAGGTTCTAGTTGACACTTTTTGAATTTGTAGCAAATTTGCTTGGCAAGTCTACAGCAAGAGTCCTGCAGGTCTTAGCAAGAGCTCAAAGTGTACAGCACTTTTGCAAAGCATGTTGATCTGGAGACTTGCAATGCACTTGCTGTAATTGTGCAACAAAATTGTGAAGCTTGGCAAGTCTGCAATAGTTTAGCAAGTCATTTTCAAACTTGCAGCTCAATTGCTTGCTGTCTGGGTAACTGGTAATTGTGCCGGTGATATCCGATAACTGGTAATTGTGCCGGTGATATCCGATAACTGGTAATTGTGCCGGTGATATCCGATAACTGGTAATTGTGCCGGTGATATCCGATAACTGGTAATTGTGCCGGTGATAAACATGAGAAAGAATTACGAATATAAGATCAGTTTACTAGCCATCCTCTGCATCATCGTAATTAGCATGGTGGTCTTACATGTGACTATAAAAGATCTTACAACAAACATGTACTTTGCTGGACTAGACAAAGTGACAGGTTCACTTGATTGCAGGCCTAACAAACAGTTTATTTCCTTACATTCCCCACAATGCCAGTACTTCCAGGTATGGGGTACCATGTGACATCCTCCACTTCCTGCAGTGCCTGGGCAACCAATCACTGCATGAGGACAACTTGCCCAGCATATGTTGGGGGACTGCAGTGATAGATTCAGAGCAGGAAAGTGTAGACTTCTTGTGGAGCCGGTTATCAAATTATAGGTTTGAGGCTAAACTTTATTTTATTTCTTATTTTAGTTTTGGATAGATTAAAGGAGGGTTATTATAACTCCTTTCAGCTTTTTTTTCACTCCCCCCCCCCCCCCCCCCAATTGGGGAGATTTCCCTTTTTACTTTCTGCCCAATAGCCACAACAGGAAGTGCAAGGACATTTCTCCAAAGGGAGGGAAATCCCAGGTGGTCAGCAACATCACCAGAAATGGTGTCCCATCGGAAGGTTTCCCATCTGTTCCTGTTCTGATAATAACCCAAACACTTGTGATTTTCTTTCACTTTCAGTGATTGCGGTCACCAGGTCATATAAAGGGGGTGACTCTCTCTAATGGGGACAGTACTTTGACGGTACAGGCTGTAAATCTAACCGTTTTGTCATTCTCCTGTATTTCTGTCATGATTTAATGATCCCCACCGTGTTCTGTGCGCTGGATGTGTGCTTCCCGCCTCTGTGCGCTGGATGTGTGCTTCCCGCACTCCCGCCTCTGTGCGCTGGATGTGTGCTTCCCGCCCCTGTGATCTGTGCACTGGATGTGTGCTTCCTTCACTCCCGCCCCAGTGCTCTGTGCCCTTGATGCGTGCTTCCTGCATTCCTACCTCATTGCTCTGTGCTGGCATAGTTGAGTAACAGCTACACCCCTCATCACAAGCGGCATCATGCAGACCTTTAGTGCCGAGGTAGAGGGGGGTGTGTCTGACCAGGTCTGTTTGATTACAAAATGCAGTCAAATGCAGTTTTTCTAATTGAATATTTTTGTGATTTTTTTTTTTTTTTTTTCCCAACTGGGTTTTAAATTTCTGAAAGATTCTCTTTGTGATAATTGATTTTTTTTTGTTATACTGAATTATCAGGCAGATGATGTCAAAGTCAATTCTGTGGACTTCAACCGAGAGTTTGTGTCCCGCATGATCCCTAAATTAGAGTGGGAAGCCTTGGTGGAAACCGCAGAAAGTGTGAGTAAAGTTCATTGTAGTGATGTTTTTATCGCCACAATTTTTAGAGTTATGTAATGTTGTAATGTAGAAAACTCCAGCACAATGCCTAAATGAAATGCATGTATATTGTTGTACCTACTGAAACATTTTTTGTCATTCTGTCCAGCCCCTTGTGTCATTTACTGGTACACTGCTTAGCTTCTGTCCAAAGTGTTCATCTTCCTCTGTGCTATGTAGATTGAGTGTAGTCACAATGTATGGGGTCTTCATGTGTGGAGCCTAAACACCTCTCCCTTCAATGTCTGAAGATCAGTATACCTCCCACACTTGTGGGTTGCATTACACCACAACGCATGGTAACGTACTAACATGTGTTGTGGTAGAGCACGATTTAAAAAAAAAAGAGGGTCATGTACTTCTTTAGATGCATTAGGTAGCCCATTTAATTAAATGCCTTACTGCAACCCACGGTCACAAAAAAGCTGTAGAGGCGAGCAGGGGCGTACCTAGAAATCACAGGGCCCCATAGCAAACATTTGTATGGGGCCCTGTGATCTCTAGTTACAGCCCACCTGAGATCCCACACAGCCCACCTGATAGTGACCCTGCAGAGCCCACCATAGACACTGCCGATCTGCTATGGAGTACTGGTCTGATGTCTTGGCAGAGGGTCTCAGGAGGGAGAGATGTGTAGGCAGTGGAGGCCCTGTAAGCAGGCGTAGCGAAGTTCCCCAGGAGGCTGCTGCACGGGACCTAACGCAGCCAAATCAATTTGAAAATGAAATTGCCGAGGTCAGTGATAAAGCAGAGTGCGGAGGTCAGAGCTGTGACGTAGAGTTCAGAGGTCAGCTGTATGCCGCAGAGTATAGAGGGGGGGCGCAGAGTATAGACACTTACTGTGCATATAGATTGTTTGATGTTCTTCCCTCTTCCTCTCCGGGTGGGGGAGTGGTGATGTTTTCTGCTGTGAAGGCTCCAGTCCATCATGGTGCCTCCAGACGTCTTCCTGTTCCAAGGACCCGCCCTACTTCTGTAAGCCAGCCAATCGTGGTGGTGCAGGCTTCCCCATAGCTGCTGGAGTGGGAGGAGCTCCACGTTGCTGCCGAAGTGAGCATCATTCAGAGCAGCTGAAAGCTGAATCGGCTTTTCTCCTTCCTGGCCGCTGCAGCTAGAGAGCGGCCGGGAGGAGAGTGGTAAAAGTCATCTGTGATCGCCGCTGCGGCGGCCATTTAAAGGGGCCTTCGCCCGGACCGCTTCGGCATTTTTTTACTAGCCACTGGAGGCGAGTTAGGCGGCTGCGAGGCCCCCGGCGACCTAACTCGCCTAATTAGAGAGCCGCCTCTGCGTGTGGATAATGGTGTGAACAAGCCCTGACATACATAGGAGAACTGGAGCAGACAAAATCTAGAGCAGATTTTGCACTACAACCAATCAGATTCTTTGTCTCATTTTCAAATTTTAACTAGGCAAACTGAAGAGAGATGCTAATTGGTTGCCAGGGGCAACTGCCCTAGATTCTTTATATTCCAGTTTTGATGCATTCCACCCACAGTGTCTTGATGTCTTGAGTTCTTTAACCCTTTAGTTAAGACACATTACTGCTCATCTAGTTTACAAACGATAAAATCTGCCAGCATGGTACAGACAGGGTTAATTGTGGCAAACATAACTGCCCATCCCCCTCCTTAACATTACATAGCGAGGGAGAACTGAGTAGGATTTTTCCAGTCCTGGAGTTTTCAGAAAAACGGCATTTAAAAATGTAAGCAGCAATTTGTAAATATTTTTTAGAGCCTTGGTTCTCAACTGGTGGGTCGTGACCCAAAAGTGGGCCGCGCCCCCATGTTTAGTGGAACAAATGACAAAAGGATCGAGAGGTGAGCGAACGCCGGTATATGTTCGCTCACCTCCCGATCTACTGAGCCGACCTGTGACAGTCTCATTGTCACACGTCAGCTCGAACTATAAGGTGAGTGAAAAACACTCACCTCATAGTTCTCCTTTTAATATAGTACAAACAGCAAAAAGTTTTCCCAGCACACTCTAGCCAGCATGCACATGGGGGGGTCTCAGCTGCCTTGTGATGTGCGGGATCCCTTGTGCGTCCCTGTACCTTTTTTAAGGAAGGTTGGGCTTCCTACTGACAAACCTGCACCCAATTTGATCTTATGCCATATGTGCTCAAAGATGGAGAGTCTCATAGTTTATAGTTAGGACCGCACTAGCTAGAGGTGCCTTGGCGCGGCTGTGCGGCTTTCACATTTTCTGCAGAAGACGTGTATCTAAGCCTCTGTTTTTAACCTTAGCGGTGACAAGTTTTTTTGCATGCTGGCTGGCGAGTGTGCTGGGAAAACTTTTTGCTGTTCCCATGTTTAGTGGGTCGCTGCGTGTCTTCCACTTTTCTAGGTGAGAGGCTCCTCTGCCTCGCCCTAGCACAGCACTGTCAGTTCTTGCGCCAAACAGCTATTCGAAATATGCTTCCCTGCGCCAAGTGTCAGCTTGAGGTGGGGTGGGCCGGAGCTATGACCATCCATACTTTGATTGCTTACCGCTCCCTCATGTGTCTTGTAGAGGTGCCAGGACCTGAGATACGTCACATTCTGGCTCCCGCCACCTCTACTGCGTACGCAAGGGAGCTGTA